AATTGGCGGTGGAGAGAGGAGCAGGTTGACCAGTTGTGATTTGTTTGGAGATGGTTGTTGAAGGGACACCGTTGATCCACAGGTAGGGCCCAGTGGAGAGATGAGGTCCTAGGGAGGACTTGAAGAGACAGGCAGTGGAAGGTCCTGGAGAAATCACAGTTGGTGAGAACCAGCTGAAACAAAAGATTAGTTGGCTGTACATGAGTTACCATTTGGTAGATGATGTCCCAGCACTGAAGAGGTGTCTGGCAGGAGCTTAAGTGCACCGTCAGGCAGGCCTCCTCAGAGCAGCAGCAGGTGGAGTGAATTATTGGTATTTAGCTGTGGAAGGAAGAGTGAGTGACAGGTAAAACCCAGGAATCCCACAAAAGCTAGTTGTACTTGTTTTGTGTTTTAAATGTAGATGTATGTTGTAACTTCTGGTTGTATAAGTTTAGTCTTTGCTTTTTATGATCAGTTAAAACTAAACTGATTTTGTACAAAGCGTTTATTAGGGCAGTTTATTAGTGGCAGCATGACGGCTCAGTGGTTAGCACTGTTGCCTCACAGCAAGAAGGTCCTGGGTGGACCTGGGGTCTTTCTGTGTGGAATTTGCATGTTCTTCTTGTGCTTGCTTGGGTTTTCTCCGGATACTCCGGTTTCCTCCCACAGAACAAAAACATGCATGTTAGGCTGCTTTTCAGTTTCATGCCTCCCTTGTAAAAGAGATCTGTGATCTGGTTAACTAAAGGTTAATAAAAAAGGCTAATGTGAAGTTGAGTGCTGTGTCTGTAGCATCTTAGCTAGTGTGTCTGTATTGTGCGCCGCTAGCTTACCGCTACTTCTTGTTGTTCCATGATCTTTAAAATGGTTATTGAATCAAGTGTTTACTCATGTAGGTTAACATAGATGTTTAAAAACCCATTAATATACACCAGAATGCAGGAAATAGCATCTACTTCATTCAACATTTTCTGGGGGAGGACTTTTTCTGATCACAGTAAATAACTTCTTTTAACCAAACTCCAAAGCAAACTATTTATTAAAAGTAGTAAAACTTTTTCTAAATTCATGCGCATATAAAAACTGAAATAATTCCTGCTTAAAGAGTGAATTGAATTTTGCCTTAGATAAAAGATGAATCATTCTTTGATTAGTTAATATCCTTCATAGTTTATGTTGGGTTGTTTTGTTTATTACTGGCACTGATTACATTCTTTGGTGCCCCGTGTAATTGATTACAAAGTCTTATCATAGCTGATGAATATTCAATATTTCTAGATGAAAAAAGGTGTCTTATGAGCAGTGTTTGTGTCATGAACCAGAGGCCGGATCGCAAACAACAACAACAACCACTGAGAGGGTTAAAAGATTTATTGTGAAATAAAGTAAAACCCTGGAGTAGGTCCGGTTCTGGGCTGGTTCCGATCTTCTGATTGGTAGTTCGTGATTGGGAAGTGTTGAAGTGGCGGGCTGCCAGTAGAAGTAGAACTGATGTTAAGGTCCACTGGAACGGAGTCCAACAGGCTTGCAACTAAAAGATAAAGGTTAGTAGATGCAGGGGGAAAGAGACTAATAGGGGAAATGAATCTGTGGGAATCAGATTCAGGGATAAGGATAAGTCCGTGATACAGAATGAGCTTGACCTTTAATCCGTGATCCAAAAAACAGTCAGAAGGGAAAGGCAGAGTTCATACCGTGGTCAGTTGTTCAGCAGAAGTATCCAGTACGTGATCCAAAGAGAGAGTCAAAAAACAAGAGCATGAGTCGGTACCTGATCAGATGAGCAAAAGCAGACGAGGGCTGAGGCAAAAGCGTGGTCGTGGTCAAGGCAAGGGTCATGAACGTGAAGAGTCAATCAATGGAATGCTGGAAAGTCTACTGCTGATGAGACAGGATAGAGAATCTGGCCCAGACTGAGAGGAATGAGAGAACTTAAGTACTGACTGGACCAGGTGGTGGAGCTGTGGGATAATGAGCGGTGACAGGTGACATGAGTTGAGTGATTACTGAGTGTGCAGCATGACAGAGGAGCTGACAGAGAGCAGAGCTATGACAGAACCCCCCCCTCAAGGTCCGGCTCCTGAAGGACCACCAGGCTGGAGAGGGTTCAGTCGATGAAAGTCTCTAATGAGGGTTTTGTCCAGAATATTGCGTGAGGGCACCCAGGAACGTTCCTCCAGGCCGTACCCCTGCCAGTCTACCAGATACTGGAGTCCTCTCCCCCACCTTCTGGATCGAAGAAGGCGTCGGACCGTGTAGGCTGGGCTCCCCTGAATGAGTCGGGCGGGTGGTGGGAGGTCGGTGGTGGGTCGAAAACGTGGCAGGACAAATGGCTTGAGTCTTGAGACATGAAACATTGGATGAATGCGCATGGACCTGGGTAACTGTAAGCGAACAGAGACAGGATTGATTATTTTGGTAATCAGAAAAGGACCAATGAAACGTGGTGCTAGTTTCTTAGATTCCACACGGAGAGGAAGGTCCTTGGTGGAGAGCCACGCTTTCTGGCCCACCTTGTACAATGGTTGAGGCGTTCTCCTGCGGTTAGCCCCCCGAACGTACCTTTTGGTGGCCAAAATTAGGGCTCTCCTGGCTTTTCTCCAGACTCGCTGGCAACGTAAAATTGCGAGTCGTGCAGAGGGAACCCGAGCTTCTCTCCCCTGGACTGAAAAAACAGGGGGTTGGAATCCAAAGACAACATGAAAGGGTGAAATACCTGATGTAGAGGATGGAAGAGAGTTGATTGCTTGTTCAATCCAAGGGAGGTTGGACGTCCATTTCCTCGGGTCCCCCTCGCAGAGGAGCCGAAGCTTGGTCTCCACCTCCTGGTTGGTACGCTCAGATTGTCCATCCGTTTGGGGATGAAAACCTGACGAGAGGCTGACCGAGATCCCTAGCAGGTTGCAAAACTCCCTCCAGAACTTGGAAATGAATTGGGGACCTCGGTCAGACACAATGTTCTGGGGGAGCCCATGGAGCCTGAAAACCTCCTTGGCCATGATAATGCTGAGCTCCTTGGAAGAAGGTAACTTGGGGAGAGGAACCAGGTGGACCATTTTAGAAAAACGGTCCACAATGGTCAATAACACTGAATTACCTTCAGAAGGGGGTAATCCAGTCACAAAGTCCATAGCAATATGTGACCATGGGCGTGAAGGAATTGGCAGTGGTCGTAGCAGCCCGGCAGGTGGGCGATTGGAAGACTTGGCACGATTGCATTCGGGACATGACTTGACAAAGTGTTTGGTGTCCTCCGTAAGCGTAGCCCACCAGAATCGGGCGCGAATGAGTTGGAGGGTCTTGGTGATTCCTGGGTGACAGAACAACTTTGATGAATGGCATAATTCAAGAACCTCTTTTACCTTTTGATTGGGGACAAACAGGCGCCCCCTAGGACAGGTGGGTGGACGTGGCTCGGAGAGTTGGACTTGTTGGAGATCGAGTTCTAATTGAGTCAAAGAAAGACGTACGGTCTCAGGCAGGATGAACTCGACCTCTTCTGAGGGCCCTTCCTTGACCTCAAAGACCCGGGACAGGGCATCCGGCTTGGCATTCTTGGGCCCGGGTCTGTAAGAGAGGGTGAAACTGAACCGAGAGAAAAACATAGCCCACCTGGCCTGACGGGGATTGAGTCTCTTTGCTGTGCGAAGGTACTCCAGGTTTTTATGGTCGGTCCATACCAAAAAGGACTTCTTCGCACCTTCCAGCCAGTGCCTCCATTCCTCCAGAGCAGAGCTATGACAGTTTGAGCAAACTACGAAGCTTTTTAGTGAACTGATGGATCTTCTGAGAAGTTGTCTCCTGTAGACCCAGACCTCCTGTTAGCTTAGCCATAAATTGAAAAGTGCATGCTGATGTGAACTTTCCAGATCACTACTATTCAATATGTGGGAGATGATACCTGAGTGAGCCGCACGAGCGGCATGGATTGTTTATTTAAAATAATTAACCGCTACCAGAAATGAGCCTTTTGTCCAGCCTCTTGGGCCAGGCCACTGGGAAATGTCCAGGTGCTCCCGATGACCAGTCCACTCCCCCCCCCCCCCCCCACACACACACACCAGTGGGTCCCCACCATATTACAAACTCTTCTGACGCCAATAGCCACTGCATTGTTCAAGCCAAGAGCTATTGTCAACACTGGGTGCTAAAACACCCCTAAAGGGCATATCCCAGAATTGCCCTCGATGTAAGATTATAATTATATGGTTTTAATAATAATAAGTCGTGATCTAAAGTGGGCCAGTTCGAGGCATGAAACTCCAGGGCTTAATATGAGTCCCATTTTAGCCCTGGCTACATCTCTTTTGGTTCCACTCAAAACTCACACCTGAGCAGGACGTGGATGCTTCACCTGTGATATATGAACCATTTGAGGAAGAACTGGTCTGTGCAGCCATTTCATTTTAAATGAAAACAGGTTTCTGGTTCTTACCTGGAACATCAACAGGTTCGTCATTCAGGGAACATCAAAAACTGTTAACTTTTTTTTTTTTTTTTTGAAAAGCATAAAGATTTGGCAAATCAGAGATGGCAGAATAATATGTGTGTTGAACAGGATGCATAGTGTCTCATTTTGGTTTTTAATATTGTTAAAGTAAAAGAATACGAAAATGTATTGGCTTTGTAAATCAAAGTCTTTTTATTGAGTTTGTTGTTTGTTTTTTGAAAAAAAAAAAAAACACACACACACACAAGAAGAGAGAGAGAGAGAAAAAAAAACCAGAACAAAATCCCACCCCACCCCTCCCACACCAGCTCAGCCACACATTCATAAATATCTTGAACAAGCATTGGAATGTTTTCTTAAACCTAGCCTTTGACAGGCTGCCAGAAAAACCCTCCTTGAAAGACTCAATTCTCAGGAAAAATAATTAACATACGAGTAACTGTAAAGAGAAGGAAAGAGGACTAAAAAAGGAGAGACTGTCATTGTTCATTGGTTGGTGATTTAGCTCCTCCCTGTGTTATCTTCATCTTCTTATTTAAATGGGAACAGAAGAGAGCGTCTTCACATCATCTCTGACATTTTTTGCCATTCACACCAATCCTCCCTGAATGAGTTGTTGGAAACCTGAGACTGCTAAAATCGAAAGTTACATTCAGGTAAATGTTACTTTTTTAACAGGAAAAATATCAAATGTTGTAAGTGACATAAACTACATGTAAAATATGAATATTGTTACTTTTGTCTTGTCTGTTGCACACAGGAAAGAAGATCTGTATCACATTTCATTAACAAAAGAGCTTTTTTATTTGCAGTCTTCTTTATTTAATCTACAGAGTATCTTCTCACCATGTCAGATCAGATGACCCAGTCTTACCATGAAAAAGCCTACGAGTCTCTCGTGAAAGGCCTGAAGCAGCTGGACCTGCGGAGCTCCAGTGTTCCTTGCAACCTGGTGCTGGCTGGAGAAAATGCCTTTCCTGTATTGATGGACAGTTATGGTCATGTCCTCATGGCTGCTTCGCTGTACGGCAGAGGAAGAATTGTGGTCCTGGGCCATGAGCAGTACTTGAGTTTGGCTCCTGATCTGGTAGAGAATGCTCTGATCTGGCTGGGAGGGGGGGAACCTGAAAACGTATCATTGGGGGTGCACAAAAACCTGAAAGCAGTTGCTGATAAGCTGAGCAAATCCAACTTCCAAGTCAGTGTTGTTGAGGGCTTTAGTGCAAATCTGGGAGTTAGTGTGTTTGTATCAGATGCCTACCGTGTTGGTGAACATGCAGGAGATCTGGTAGCCTTCATGAAAGCAGGAGGAGGAGTGCTGTTAGGAGGACAAGCATGGAACTGGGCTTCACAAAACCCCAACGAAAACCTAATCCTCCAGTTTCCTGGTAATAAAGTCTCAGGGGTGGCAGGGATCTACTTTTCAGCACAATATGCAAAAGGAGAAAACCTGACCATCAGCCCTGAAATCCCAACCTCCTGGAAAACCTTAGAGTAAGTGTTTATTTCTTTCATAGCAAGTTTTAATTTTCTTTATATATTACAAAAACGATTCCACTACAAATACACAGTTTAATAAAACCAGTGTGCAATTTAAAAAAAATGTTTGTCATTATTTGTCCATAATGTGTGAATTGTACCAGTCAACATAATGTTACAATAATGTTTGTTTTATTTTTGCATCCACAAACACCAAAAGTCCAGGCCTGACATAAAAAAAGCTTTTGTTGAATGATGTTTATTGATTTTGAAGTTCATTTGTCATCATCATCCATCGTATAAGATGTGATTCTCTCTATCTTCTTCCTGTAACACAGCTATAAGTTGAGTTTTAAGGAGGATCTGGAGTTTCTGCTGAAAGGGGTCTCAGAGTTTGACACCCGGGGCGATGCTGCTTTCTCTGACGCTCTGATCCACGGCCCTCTTTCCTTTCCCATCGGTGCCACGAACGATGGACATGTGTTCCTGGCAGGATCCTACTTTGGGAAGGGACGAGTTATTCTGACGACACATGAAACCTTTATGGGATCTGAGGTAAAGTTGTAGAAGCATCATTTTGTGTTTTTTTTTTTTCAAATTTAATAACGTTTTATTTTCACAATACACTAAATATATTGAAAATGGTTATAACTTTGAGGATTGGGTTTCCTCATTAATTTCTCTGTTTTTGTTTTTCTTTGTTTTCTTATTCTGATTTTCAGGTTCTGTTTATTTGTGTGTTTCCTCCTTAGAGCATTGTCTACACTAGGTAGTTTATCTTCTATGTTAATGTCACAATTCTCCCCCTAGTTTACCTCAGAGTTCCCTCTAGACATTTATGTTTTAACTTTGTCATCTGAGACCAGTGATGTTGTCCTGTAAGTCCAGTGCTTTGTTAAATAATGGCATCAGTTGTGGAATCTGTTTTTGGACCCATTCCTTGTGCCCTCAAGAGAATCATGACAATAATGAAGTTTATATTTTTTTTAACATAAGGCCATTATACATTTTTTGTTTTGAATAAAAAAGCTGTTTGTGCTTTTTCTTTCATATCATTAATCATTTCCATATTTTTCTAGAACTTGGCATCATTTTGGAAAAATGTACTTCATTGGCTGGACCAAGGCAGGAATGGGGTCGTAGGATTGAGTCCAAGGGTCAAGATTTTACCCAACTTAGGGTTGGAATGTGAAAAAACACCATTCAGGCAAGACCTGAGTGTTTATGTGTGCACAGTATGGAGTGAAGAAGATCCTGAAAAAATCCAAAACTTTGTGGCAGAAGGAGGAGGCCTGCTGATCGGTGGACATGCCTGGTGGTGGGCAACACAATATCCTGGGCAAAACACACTGCAAGACTTCTCAGGTATGATCTCCTTCCTGTCCTCTCAAACTTCTGCCGGCCAAAGTAGATGGTCGCTCCTCCTGAGCCTGGTACTGCTGGAGGTTTCTTTTTGTTAAAAGGGAGTTCTATTTCATATAGGCTTCGCCCTTTCGCCTCAACACACACCGGCCCACCTGGACATGAAGGTTGGTCCATGGTCCGAACGCAGCACATGGGCGCGTTCAGAGCCCTTTCGAGGAAGCCTCGCCTTGGATCATGCTGAAAACATTCCCGCGGCACATGACGGCGGTCGAGGCGGCGGACTGGATGACATCCGTATAAAACATGACGCATCACTTAAACGCACGTCCACTCCACGAACGTTACGCGGAGTGGCTAAAAACATGCTCGCCAGACAAATGGATGGACAGGGTGTTATGCAAAGGTTACACGTTACAATTTGCAACCCGACCTCCTCCTTTCGGAGGAATTTTAGAGACAGTCCTGTCATCACCAGACCAAATCTCATCCCTAAATGCAGAAGTCCAAGAGCTTCTGATAAACGGAGTAATCTCCAGAGTTCCCAACGGAGAGGAAAACACAGGGTTTTACTCACGTTACTTCCTGGTTCCCAAAAGGACCGGAGGGATGAGACCCGTTTTGGATCTGTCAGCTTTCAACAAGGCGATCATGGAAAGACCTTTTCACATGTTGACAACCAGACAGCTGTTGGACAACATCCAGAGAAACGACTGGTTTGTTTCCGTCGACCTGAAAGATGCTTATTTTCACATACCGATCATCCCAAAACACAGAAAATTCTTGCGTTTCTCCTTTCAAGGGATGAAGTATCAGTATAACAGGCTGCTGTTCGGTTATTCCCTCGTGCCTCGTACGTTCTCAAAGTGTGTAGAGACAGCCCTGCATCCGTTACACAGAGCAGGGATGAGAGTTTTGTTTTACCTGGACGACCTGCTGCTGCTGTCACGCTCCAGACAGGAAGCAGTGATGCAGGCTCAGGTGTTGACATCACACCTGTTAAATCTGGGCTTCGCCATAAATTGGAAGAAAAGCTCGATTTTCCCGGCCCAGACAATTGTTTATCTGGGAGTGGAGCTAAACTCAACCACAATGAGGGCTCTTTTATCACAAACGAGAATTGACACTTTAAAAGACCAGCTCCGTCACGTAAGACCTGGCAGAGTGGTAACAGCTGTTTCCATCATGAAGCTGTTAGGAACGATGTCATCAGCTCACACAGTTGTCCTGCTGGGTTTATTACACATGAGATGCCTCCAGAGGTGGTTTGCACGTCTGTGTGTGGACCCAGTAAAACAAAAGAGATGGATGATCACTGTTCCTCCCTCCGTGAGGGCAGACCTCCGACACTGGGGAAACACCCTAGTTCTGTCGGAGGGAGTCCCCGTCAGCAGACCCACGTCACACGTGCCAGTCTTCACGGACGCGCCGCTGTCAGGCTGGGGGGGGACATGCCTATCTCAAGCAGTAGGGGCGCTGTGGCCCCATCACACATCAGCCCACATAATTGTTTTGGAGTGTCGCACGGTGCTGAACGTGATTCAACATTTTGCTCCTGTGCTACAGAATCAACACGTTTTGATTCACACAGACAACAAGGTGACTGCTGCGTACATAAACCGGCAGGGGGGTGTGCGCTCAGCCCAGATGTTACACATTGCGCGAAAGCTACTGTGTTGGGCTCACCAAAATCTGCTCTCCATCAGAGCAGTTTACATACCCGGTGTTCTGAACAAAGGGGCAGATGTGATGTCCAGGGGCGGTCCACGTCACGGGGACTAGACTCTCCACCCAGACCTGATGACTCAGATGTGGCAGAAATTTGGCAAAGCAGCTGTGGACCTGTTTGCGACACGAGAAAACGCTCAATGTCAACTATGGTTTTCTTTGAGCCCGCGAGACGAACCACCGCTAGGGGTAGATGCGTTTGCCCACAGCCCATGGCCCAAAACGCTTCTGTACGCGTTTCCTCCACCTCCTCTGATTTTACGGTTCCTGAACCGAGTTCAGGAGGAGGGATTGACAGCTCTCCTGGTGGCCCCCGAGCACGTGAACGCACCATGGTTCCCAGTCCTGCAATGCCTGTTGTCGGGGCGCCCGTGGAAACTGCCGTGGAGGGAGGATGCTCTCCTCCAGGCAGGAGGAGCGATCAGGAGTTACCCAGAAATAGGCCAGCACCTGTGGGTCTGGCTGCTGAGCGGATCCGCTTAGAGAGGATGGGTCTCCCACAGTATGTAGTGCGCACAATCCAGGATTCACGTGCTGCATCCACCACAGCGCTGTACACATCAAAGTGGACAGCTTTTCAGCGCTGGTGTACAAAGAAGGGTGTAGAGGCCACCTCATGTCCATTAGGTGGCATGCTGTCCTTTCTACAACAGCTGATGGACATGAACTTGGCGTTCAGCACAATTAAAACGTACGCTGCAGCCATCTCTTCCTGCCACGAAGGGTTCGGAGACAGAACAGCTTTTAGTCATCCGCTGATGAAGTGTTTTCTAAAAGGTGTACAGAGACGCAGACCTGTTTCACGCCAACTTGTTCCACACTGGGATTTAACGCTGGTCCTACGAGCCCTGATCAAAGCTCCATTTGAGCCTCTGGATCAGGTTCCACTTAAATTCTTGTCTCTTAAAACAGCCCTGCTGCTAGCTTTAACATCCGCTAAGAGAGTGAGTGATTTATCTGCCCTCTCTGCCGCTCCGTCATGTCTCAGAATTCAGGCTGACGGCAGCTCAGCTGATTTAACACCAAACCCAGCTTTTATGCCTAAAAACATCACAAGCTCTTTTAAATCAAGAGCGATATCGTTGGAGGGGTTTTTCCCTCCCCCCCACAGATCAGAAGAAGAAGTATCTTTCCATCTTCTCTGTCCGGTGCGGGCGTTGACGTGTTACATAGCGCGCACAGCTGTAATGCGCCAAACTCAACATTTGTTCGTGCATTATAGAGATGCATCTGCAGGTCGCCCGTTATCCACCCAGCGTTTGTCACACTGGCTGTGTGAGGCCATTTCTGAAGCCTACAGAGCATCAGATTTAGAGCCTCCTGCCAACCTCAGGGCGCACTCGACCAGGGGTATTGCATCTTCGACTGCCTTGCATAATGGTATGACAATGCAGGACATTTGCACTGCGGCCGCGTGGTCAACACCCTGCTCATTCATTTGTTTTTATCTGCGTGATGTGACAGTTCGTTCCATGACACATTCTGTCCTTAATGCTCTAACAGAATGAATATTATTGTTTTCATGGAACCCTGTTTAAGCTCACATCTGACTGCATGCTTCACAGCGTGAGATGTTGTTATCAGTCACAAGTTGTGTCTGCTATTTGATTCTATTGGCACTAATCAGTTCATGACTATTGTTACCAATCAGTTCATTTGATTATAATCAGTTCACTTGTTATTATTAATCTGTTTATACTGTTCAGCCATGAATCAGTTGGTTCATGCCCCCCCCCCCTTTTTACATCTTCCTTCCCCATTGAAATTTTCCTGGGCGTTCATGCTTTTCAGAACACATAGTTATACAACATGTGTCTGTGCATGGCACACTTAACTACGCAATACGTAATTATGCACATGGGGAGCTGAGTGACAAGACATTTTTGTGGGCAAGCTTCTGTCTCATACGGTGTTCGAATGGACCCAGTGAGGCGAGGACAACATCCGCTTCGCCCTTAACCCATCAGCGACAGCCTTAAAGGGCGAAGCCTATACGACATAGAACGTTGGTTACGTACTATAACCCCAGATTCTATGAGTATAAGCGTAGCCTTTTAAGCGTCGGGCCTCACTGGCTCCTAAATGGCTGAAGAAAAAAGCTATTTGGGAGCCGATTACCCGCTCTTAACGTAACTTATACGGATTGGGTGGGGCCCACACAGCAGGTGGGCGTGGACTAAATTTTTTCAGTGTGATGCTTCGCATAACGGGATAAACCCATCAGCGACAGCCTTAAAGGGCTACGCCTATACTCATAGAATCTGCGGATACAGTACGTAACCAACGTTTTTCCTTTCCACTGTTGCCAGTGTGCTTGATCAGAATGGAAGACTATGAAGTGAAGATTCAACACAATATACTGGTTTCTTTAGATAAATGTTTTTTTACTAATTGGCTTTTTTGTGTGTGTGTGAATGTTTCTGTTCAGTGCCCTGAGATAACTTATGTTGTGACTTGGTGCTATATAAATAAATTTAATTCAATTGATAATGTATTTCCTAAGTTTGAATTAAAGGATCTACCACCAGGGAAATGGACTCACATTAAGATAGGACTACATAATGTAGAGGGATGACTATATATCACTGGTGAACCACGAGAGCTAGGCCTTCAGTCAGGATGAATTATTGTAACATTCCATTCAGTTCTAACATCAAAAACCTCTACAGAACTGCTGTTCAGTTACATCACTTTATTTTAAGTTTTAGTATATTAACTAGCTGACAAGAAGGGATTCTCCTATTTTAATCCATCAGGTACAACATTTGACTCGTGATGTCATTTTTAAACAGTCCCTAACAACAACTTGAACATGCAGTTGTGTTGAAAGTTTGTGAAGCCTTTAGAATTTTCTTTATTTCTGCATAAATATGACCTAAAACAACATCAGATTTTCACACAAGTCCTAAAAGAAGATAAAGAGAACCCAGTTAAACGAATGAGACAAAAATATTATACCTGGTGTATTTTTTTAATTGAGGAAAATAATCCAATATTACATTTTGTGTGTGAGTGGTAAAAGTATGTGAACCTCTAGGATTAACAGTTAATTTAAGGTGATATTAGGTGTTTTCAATCAATTGGATTGTAGATGAACAGATGCTCAGATATATTCATCAATTAACACGGATTC